GTCACCGATGTCGTGGCACACGACAAAGGAATTATCCATCAGTCTTTATAACTTATACTCCTAAAATTATTTCCGACAGAATCGTGTAATTTTCTTGATATACAAGATATCATCTTTACGTTTTGTTTGAATGTCTGTCGGAAAATAGAACTGCTCCGATTTGTGTTATTCATTCAAACATGAGTAATAAATTCAAATTAGTGTGATTTGATGAAAAGTGGTGAAGTCAGAAAGCACCCGACAGGGGGTCGGGTGCTTTCTGAACCCTGTGTATACAGAAACCAACCATAGGGGTTCTGAGTGAACATGATAGTGAAATATGAAAAATAAGTGAAAACAAAAACAAAAACAAACAAACAAACATGCTTATTACAATTATTTCACCATTATTTCATTTTTCGACGTGCATCCCAAATACTTAACATTTGTTCAATTTATTTAAAATTTATTACATTTTAGTAATAAATAATGTCATGTTCGATCAAATACATCGTTATTTTTTTTTAAATTTAAAACAAATAGCTCTTACTCTAATAATATAACCAAGTCAGCTTTCGACCAGCTTCCGTGGGTCGGTTTGTTTAATTATATTGGTACAGCATTACAGTGTGGTGTAGATATCTTAACGTCCTTGGAGGTATTCCGTCTTTGTGTATTGCAGAGTTATCTTCTCTTGTGAGCAGGTATTGATTGTTACAAATAAGTAGTAACAAATACATGCTAACAAATAAGTGGTAACTAAAAACGTCCATCCAGGGATTACGTATTCCGTCTTTGCGTATTATATTTGCAGAGTAATCTTCTCATGACAGCAGGTATTGATTGTTACGTCATTGGTTTGTGTGAGAAAATTACGTCGTTTTCTCAAAAATTGATGACGTTACTTTCACAAACCAATGACGTAATCAATACCTGCTCACAAGAGAAGATAACTCTGCAACACGAAAAGACGGAATAGATAAAGATACTTTACTTACGACTGAATTTCAGTCCGCTCTGGAAACAAAGAATACACATGCACAAGGGAGTAGAGATGAATGAACATATAATGTAAGATCGGTAAACAATCTATTAGTCCCTTTCCCCACTCCGGGTTTTACGTCGTGGTATATTTTACACTGTTAATGATATTAATTTGATGCAACTGATGTAGGATAATAGTTTTCCGGATAGAATATTCTCTGATTGTTTTCTTAATTAACCGTACCTTTTTTGTTATTTGAACGTTTTATATTTTGTGAAAATCAAGCAAAATATATTTCTGAGTTTTACGACTGATGAGGTTGCCTAAATTCAATTTGTCATTAAAAAAAACTCCCACTTTCAAATAACAAAATAAATTGAGTACATCGTTGTAAATTAAGAATGTTTTATCCGGACAAAAAGATATTCTTGCAATAGATTTATCATATATACACAGCATGTAGGGTAAGTGGTATCTATGGGTGGTATAAATAGCTAACACCTGTAATATCCTGTTTTCCTTATACACAATGTTAATCACCTGGGATAAGCATTTCTTAATCTGTTGTTTGTACATTCATTATCTTAATTACAGGTCGCTTAAGTATTTACCTGACCCAGGTGAACATTTGAGGGATTTAATCCCCTGGGTTTTGTGTGACTAACCCCGACCTAAGCTAGGGGTCTATATTTATCTTTGTTTCCAGGGTGTTACGTGGCTCCGAATATAGTAGGGTGTGTGCGGGCCAGATACAAATCCAGGTAGCGTTTCACAGGTAGGTCGTAAAGTATGAATACCTGTTATTTGCTGTTGCGTGGGAAAAGAGGGCAATGCCATTTAGGTAAATGAAAGTTCACCTGCTGTACGTTTCAATAGGTAAACATTCCCGGAAACTTTGACCTTGAGCGATAGGCTTAGTCAAGCGTGATATGTGACAAACAATATTTAGACAACGTACATCTGTTTGACTTGTCAGTATATGCTGGGTTTGTTGATCGTAAATAAAAATACATAACGATGTTATTGTATGTATCTGAACACAGCTATCGTTTGATGGTATAGAATGGATGCTTCATGTTAGACGTTTTCTGTGATGGTAGCTAGCCTTCGGTAATTAAAATACTATAATATATGTATCTTGAGATCCATTGATGAAACAGAAGATCGACGTATGTACATTAAAGACTATACTACAAAGTTTGGACTTAATTAACATAATGTTGAATTCACCCATATGCTCGACTGAATCACCAAGGACGTGCATTACAGATTGTAAAATATGCAAGGTTATTGAAAATAAAATGAATTTTCATTTTACAAATATCTTTTATATTTGAATTAAAAAAACCCATATTTGAGCAATAATATACATAAGTCTGAGAAGGAAAATTTAGTACTACATTGTCTTCTAAAAGTCCTGAGATTGTAATGAAGTATTGTCTATTCTTGAAACAGTCTTGGGAAATGGTCAGTAATGTATGATCTACATCATTTATAGTAAAACCTCTCTATTAAGGCCACCTTTTATAGTAAAACCTCTCTAGTAAGGCCACCTTTTATAGTAAAACCTCTCTAGTAAGGCCACCTTTTATAGTAAAACCTTTATATTAAGGCCACATTTTATAGTAAAACCCCTCTATTAAGGCCACATTTTATAGTAAAACCTCTCTATTAAGGCCACCAGGCGTATTAGTTGATTGTTCTATGTTGTTTAATGTTTATGTTGCCTTCACATTACTTTGCAATTAAAAAAAATGTGAAAATAAAATCTTAACTGTAGCTATGGCAGAGACGTACATTACATACGTCTCTGGCTTTGGTATACACGAATATACGCATTTATGAACACTAGCTGATACCATAATTAAACTAATTCCTCTCCCTCTCCTCCCCTCCCCCCCCCCCTCCTCCTTCCTTCCTCCTCCTCCCTCCTCGTGTGTCGATGCCACCAATTATGACGATTAGTACGTTATTTCAATCAATGGGATATCTACGGAAGCCCTGGATGGATATTTTTAGTTACCAATTATTTATTACAATTTTCAATTCAATTAATTACCAAATGCACATTGCATATAGGCGTACAGAAATATACATATAGATAAATACTTTACAAATATCTTGTACAATGGCGGAGAACATATGCAATAGGTTCAATTATTTATTACAAATAACGAATGACAAATAAGTAGTAACAAATAAATGCTAACAAATAAGTGGTAAATAAAAACGTCCCTCCAGGGCTTACGTATTCCGTCTTTGCGTATTGCAGAGTTATCTTCTCTTGAGAGCAGGTATTGATTGTTACGTTATTGGGTTGTGTGAGAAAATTACGTCGTTTTCTCAAAAAATGGTGACGTTACTCTCACTAACAAATGACATAACAATTAATACTTGCTCACAAGAGAAGATAACTCTGCAATACGCAAAGACGGAATAGTTATCTTATGAAGACTTGAAAATAAAAGTTCAATTTTTACCATATGAATTGTTAGCACTAATTTGAACATCACTTCTTGAACTTGATGGTTTTGACTTTAAGTTAAGGCCCAGTTGAAGAAGTAGGACACGTTTTGGAGAAATTCAAAGAAATCTTTATTCGCGGTTTCCATCTGCTGAAAAAAGGTAATTTGGTATCCATATAACAGGTACCTGGTATAAGGGACAGTATGTTTTGCCTAGATACGTCTGTACATAGATTCTACAATTATATCTTTTTGTAATTATTGTTTGGTTTCTGACGAATTTTTATTAACAATTAAATCCATTTATAAGCTGGTTATTTTTATTATAGAATATGAACTTATTTATTTTTTACTCAAATATAGAATACAATAACAGCAGTTGTATTACGGTATATGTTACAGTATTGACCTCACGTAGAGAGCCGGTCATCCGCGATAATTGGTCCCGTCGACGTCATTAGGGCTATTTTCTGAGCACGCGATCGGGTTATAAAAATCCCGGGGCTGTGCACTTGACCAAGTTGGTTAAATCTCCCTGGGGCCACAACGGGTGTTACGATAGCATAAAGACATTATGTTTGTGTAAGGAGACGCGGCGCTGTGTAGCAATAACGACAGCCTATTTTGGAACTGAGAAACATTGGAAACCAGAGACGTATATATATTACAGAGATTTGATACGCAAACGCTTGTAATATACTGTAACACTGTTGTCTTTTCATATTTAATAACACGGAGACGTTTATAACAAAATAAAGAGCAGAAATTTTCGCAAATGTACCGATTAAATCACAAGCTTTTGTCCATCATTCCCGTATACATTAACCAAATTACGGGTTTAGACATCTTCGCTAGCCAAGTGTTCGCTGTAATCAGAGACGTATAATATGTATTATACGTCTCTGCTGTAATATACGAAGCGAACGCTTGGCTAGCAAAGATGGAAAATATCATAATTGTTGACATCAAAAAGACATCTTTTATGCCTAATATTGTATTGCATAACCTTCATAGCGCTATATGTATGACTTTGTTAAAAAAATATAAATAAGAAAATATAACTGAAATGCCTAACGTTATGCATAGTCCAGGGACAGTATATAGACTATACGTCCCTGCTATATCAAATCGGCCGTATACCTTTTGTTTCTGATCATTATCATATTGAAATTAAGTATTTATAAGTGGTAATGTGCAATTGCCGAAATAAAAACCAACTGGTTTGTTGGTTAATTGCAAAATCGATAATATATTTCCCGTACTTTGAAATTGTGAAAAGGTGTGATTTGCCGGAAAAGGTATACGTTAAAAATGTGTTTGTAAACATGATAATAAAAGTCTCAAAAAGACTGTGTGATATTGTCAAATTTCCAATTATACGCAATATAGGTCAATGATAAAGTTAAATAATAATAAGAAGTAGCATAAACTCGAATTTTATTGCATTGTGAGAGAAACTCAAAGAATAAATAAGAGTGTATGCCTATTCAGGGCCTTCTACACGTGATGTCAGATCGCGGGAAATACAATTTCGCGCGCTTTTGAGATCGCTTTGTTTTGATTCTGGACCTCAAACTGAGGCTAAGAATAGCCGAAAAAATCTGACACCCTGGTGAAAAATCTGATCCATCTTCACTTAAACTGAAGATTTGAACATGATTTAATAACTTCATATCACAGAGGAGATATTATTTATTTATTGTGTGGGTCGATTTGTTGTGTTGCACTTCGATTGAGGAAGATTACGAACTTTTTTCACGAAGTATTCAGTTCCGGTTTGTTTCTCCATTTTGCAGACTTTACGATTGCACGTCACCTAGGAAAATTTTGCCGATCTTCGTAAAAATGCCACGGGGAGCTACACCAGGAAACAGGAAAATATGTACAGCTATTATAAAACGTGAGCCTGGAACAGAACTGCAATCGTCACCTCAAATATACAATTTGACCAGCATTTATCGTCAACCCCTCAGTGATACAAAGGACTCCATTGCGAACTTGCAGGGCTTCAAACTCGAGGGAGGTTTAACACCAGGAGAAACATGTTTAAGTCCGATCGCAGATATTAAACATATTATAAACAGACCACAGGTAAATAATAAGACGAAATCGGTAACTTTGAATATGTTTGCACGCTTGTTTATTGAAACAAGAAAACTTGCCGACAAGCTTGCCGACCTGTTACGTCATCAGCTGTGGTGGCAGTGACTGGGGGGCTGTAATTTTCATGTGCATATTGGAATTAATAATATAAATAGCGTGTTATAAAAAACACGAACAGTGAATTCTACGTATCTTTGTTTTTCATAGATCGGTGATTTGTTTGTCGTAATGTAAACAAGAAACCTGATACTCTACCGGCCGGCCGGCGATGTTAACTAAAACGCCCCACCCACACACTGTTTGCTGGAAATGTAAAAGAAATCCGAATAGACAATGTATTCATGTGCATGCGTATGTGTCCAAACTGTTCCTTTCCTAATGTTGCCTCACTTTTATAAAAATGTTTAAAAAGCTAAACAAACGCATGACTTTGCCTTTTTTATAAGCAAGGCAATTTACCAGGAAAAGTTATTTTTGGTAGGCCCTATTGCTTTCAGGTTTTTAGTGGTAACTAGACAATCCCCCTGTAGTTCTCTGAATTAGATCTTGGAGAAGAAATGAAGAAGGAGCGAAAAAACAGATATAGGGATTGCATATGTATATTGTATAGGATCCCGTAGTAAAACATTGAAACATATCAATTGCATGTGTATTCGTACAAATTTTTGGATTTAATAATAGGGAACCTGAAAGTTTGGTCAAGTACACACCCTCTCCTTTGTGATAATGCAAGTTGCAGTATTATAGTCGTGCAGTAACAGATATCTGCTTCATAACTTACTGTTGTTACTATCTAGCAAGGAAATAAATGCTTGAAAAGAATGATTTGCTCTACTGAAAAGTCCATAACATCTACACACAGTGTTATTTTGATGAAAATCGATACTGAATTTAGTAGTTGAGAAATTATTTTATTTGCCAAATTGTATGCAATATTATTGAAATAGGAATAGTGTAATAAGGATACAAGTGTCCGTGTTTTAAAATGTTTTGAACCAAATGCAATTTATACTGAAGAAAAATTCACAAATCTACAGTATGAAATGTTTAATTTCTGTATTCCAGGCAAAGCGGAAACTTGAATTGGAACCAGAAATTATAAACGAAGGTTTCAAAACACCAGGGAAGACATGCAAGCGAAGACGAACATCAGAAGCAAGTCCAAAAAGTTTGTATTTCTTTAAAAATATTAAAAGGTGAAAAAAAGTTGGTTTCCACTTTTTGCCTTCCGTTGTTCACACTTTTGAGTTCAAGATTGTCAGAGCATTGTTAAAAGACCGTTTTCTACGAGTATTTTGTAAAAATGTATCCTTAGGATTAGCTGATTGGGTGTAAGTGCAGAATGGGACACTGATGCTTTGGCTTTTTGTCTATCTTATACAGTAATGAAAGCACATTAATTCTCAGACCATCTATATAGACCAATGTTTTATCGTTACCTGACAATATTTATAATTGCCTCAGGCTAATTTGCATTTTTTTTACTCTCATAATTTAGCTTGTGCCTGGACAAAGCGATACAGTTTCTATAGAAACTAGGTGTGGATTATATGTAATTTCATTTTGACATGATCAGTTTATTTTTTTTCCAGCTCCTCGATCTCCTCTCGAGAAGACAAGATATGACACATCGCTTGGTCTGTTAACAAAGAAATTTGTAGGCCTTCTAAAGAATGCACGGGAAGGGGTAAGACTTGGCACTACTTGCGCAATTCTGTTTCATGAGCAAGCATATTTTTGAACTTGAGGCCCGATGACGAGGCTGTCTGTAAAGTCATCGATTTTTTACGATTTGTCTTTCGTGTCGTGAAATATCTGATATAAAAGTAAACAGATTGTCAATTCAAGCTGTTTGATCTTGATGTTTCCAATCCCTGGAGTTAATTAATTCTGAAATATATATGATCGGTGTATAATTCCACTAGCTGCCCCCACTTCTGAAGCAAAACTATTTTACTTAAAATGCCAGGGCTAGTCTTTGGAAATAAACCCTGTAGGTTGGGCAAGTCTTTGTCAAACTTTTCTTGCGATGAACAGTGTGCTAGTACAGAAAAGGAGATTGAAGACTCCTCCCTGCATGAGATTCATTATTAAAAACTTTTTCTCATTATTTTCTGTTTTATATCCAACAAATCTTCTAGTCCACAAAGAATAACTAGCTTTGATCTGCTAAAGTATCCTGTTATTTCTGACAAAATCCAAAATCTCATAACACATGGGTAAGGTAGCCTATATTCCTTAAATATTGTAATAACGAGTCTTGTGTATACTGTTGAACTTATCAACAGCCTATGCCACATTGTTAGACATACTTGGGGTGTCTTGTGGGTGTCCACCAATTTATCTTGTGCAGAATATCCAGGAACATTTTTCATCATTTTCACTTTTCTTCATTTTGAAAAATATTAGTACACCAATAATTTAAACATGATTTGGTTTTGATTGACAGGTATTAGATCTAAACAAAGCGGCAGAACATCTGGAGGTACAGAAACGTCGGATATACGACATCACAAATGTGTTGGAGGGAATCAACCTCATCTCAAAGAAATCCAAAAACAACATACAATGGAAGTGAGTTGCAGGGTTCTCCCCAGGCCATTTAGCTGATACGGCTCCGTATCAGCTTCAGTTTGAAATCCTCCCTGCCGTATCAGCTTAATTGCCCCGTATCACCTTAAACTGTGAACCGTATCACCTTGTTATTTGTACTGAAGGTGGTCTTTTTACAAAAGAAATTGACACTGATTAAATCACACGGCTGACCCAAGTCCAGCAATGACCCCACTGGTCAGTTGCACCATAGGCGTATTGCCACAGGGGGCCTGTAATTAGTGGGGAGGGGGACCGGACGACAAGCCCACAGGTGTCCGGCAATAAGCGTGCTCACTGGAGCCTAAAGCAATTACCACCGGATCCTTTTAGCATGGTCAATAGGTGATTAATTGAGGTACCTA